AGTATTCGCTGTGCGCAGCTGTTTCTTGGCGAGATGCTGCAAATGGCCTGACTGCTTGTTGCTGTTATTGTGGCCATTGTTTCAGTCAACATTTTGTGGTTAAGTGAGGACTCCCCACCTCCCCTCCCCTTTACCCTATCTGTGTGTGTGTGTGTGTGTGCAACAGTTTCTTGCAGGCCGCACAAAAGTAGGCAATGCTTTGCGCCTCGCATCGAACAGGAAATTTAATTAAAAGCGCTTTGTCCACGATATCAAATATAGGATATATATGTATATATATACTTATATATATATATGTATATATGTATAAGTAGTAGAGACCACAACTTACAGCGACTGAAGCTGGTTGCCTGCCGTTCGTTCACTGCCAAGTTTTTACACTGCCGTCCACTGCGCTCGGCTGAGCTAACGAACTGTGACTACAATCAGCGCACTGCCTGCACTTGACTTTAGTACATTTTGGCGAGCCAACGGCCAATGGCCAATGGCCCAATGTTGTGATTTTTAGCCCACATTTTGGGTCGCCTCATGAGAAACATGTCAGCTGCTGCTGCTCCTGCTGCCGGCCTCCGACTTCTGTTGATTGCTCCGGAACAATCGCAAAGGCATATTGTCTGACACACACACACAGACACACTCACACACATAGACACACACACACAGACCACTACAAACTGCGATGCTTGCAACGATTCAGAATCTATTGATTTTCAGCGCTAATTACTATTGAATAAGAGTGTGTGTGAGGCACTGTGTGTGTCTGTGTGGCATTGTACTGGCGTAACAGCTGAGAGACCACTTGTTTCCTAATTGTAGCTTTCCGATAAGATTACTGCACGATTTTTTGTTTGGCCAGGACTAATCGTTTTGACCAAAGGTTTATGGCCTTAAATATGAGTTAAGGTGGTTGAATTGTGGCTTTGATGTGAACAATGGAATTTTTTTTACCTTATTCATACCTGAATGGTAAGTTAGATATGAGAACTATTTATATTTTTCATTATTATAATTATAAGTTTTTGTGTAGAAGTTACATATATGTGTATATATTTAAATTAATATGTCTTTTAATTAGATTGCAATAATTTATTGTTCAATTTCTCTACTTTTAATTTCACATAACGATTCAGAGATTCTCATTCTGGGCATCAATTAACTCATAACTAATCTTGGCCTGAAATAGGTCAACATAGCAAAGCTAAATAATATTTCATTTGCTACATTCAGAAATGCAAAGAAAGAAATGTCTAAATGGGTTTGGCCGACTGCTAGATGCCCTGTACACCTACTTTAGGCTTTCTATATAAGATGTATAGATAGATAAGTTAAATAAGCCGATATATCCTTAATAAGTTTAGCTTCCAATGACAAAGCTGCAGCTGATCCATATTCACAAGCCTCTAATACCTAGGAGAATTTCTCCCAGCTATATCCAATTATTAAACCAAAAAAACCTCTATAGATGCTCATAAAGAGCATCGGGCAGTAGCAGGGGAAAAAAACCGCTTTTGCCTTTTGGCAAATCGAGCAAACTTTGTAGACCATTAGAGAGTCGTCCTTGTTACTTTAACTTCTGCTACGGCTAGAGCCCCTCAGCTCCTTCTCCTGCTCCTCCTCCTCCTCCTCCTTCTCTTCTGTGTGTTCCGCTGGCAATGCTATGTAATCTTTGATTTTGCATGAGCAGATTTTATAGGGCAGGTCCAGACGCGCGCTCTCTCTCTCTCTCTCTCGGTCTCTTGGCGCTGCGGCCAGTGTTAGGGCGCTGCAGCTGTATAAATTTTACATTTGTTTCCTTTCAATTTAACAATGTGTACTTTTCGTATTGTTTTGCTTTATAGAGCAGCTCGCGAATCGGGCAGCCAG